AGAACTGCAATTAAGCATTTACAAATCCTCCAAGTAGACCATATGTAATCATATTAGCGATAATATAAGAAAGATGCATGAACTTACATGCTCAAGGCAGCTGAACTGGACCCTGATTGGAAAAAGGTTCCCTATCTGTTATGTAAGAACAACACAGCAAACACACAATAAGCCGATCATGTGACCTTTTGTGCGTGAAATGCAAACGATTTCTTTGTTTTGTTTATTTTCTTCTTCCTCCTTCTTGTTGCATGTCAAGTTGCCTCGGTGATGTGCGTCACAGATTTTGTGTACATATTGACAGCCATGCCTTGAATTCCATCCCGCCTCATTTTATCAGCACAGACAAGCATTAACCAATAGCACCGTAATGTGATAAAAGTTCATTTCGTTCAGGGAAGAGGGATTATTTTATCTCTTGCTATCTGTGCTAATAATTGATAAGCTTCAATTGCGGCTCACGGAGGAAGAGATGAGGCAACTTTGTACTGTTGAATATCTTCTGAGCCAGCTTTTTGTCCTGTTACGTAACTTTTGACTCATTGCTTCATTCTCTTAAACCTACAGTATAGGTGTTTGTCTACTTTTAGGTATACAGGACACAATAATCCATGACTTGACAAGAACTTTAAAGATAGAAGTACGACGTAGTGGACATAAGTCGTCTGGGAGTGGATGGGGGCAACTCGGTTTGAAAAATATGTATCTGAACATTTGTTGTTGCGTTTTGTCATTCTCCACACATGTCTACAACCTGAGCTCCTTGTCGATTTGTTATGTCTACAAAGATGGGATGGGCAACGTGTGCCATCACGACATGACAAAGATTCCCGCAGTTCGACGTCCAATTGGTTGAAATTGGACAAAATCTCTTTTGTTTCTGAAGGACTGCTGGAAACGGTCCAAATGATCTTAAAATGGACGACTTTCTGTCTTTTCTGACTTGAGTTGTTGATGTTTTTTTTTTTCCGTGGGTCTACTCATTTACCAAATTTCACTTTCAAGCAGGATGAACACATCGGCAAAATTTGCTTAGTGTATGAGTATAGAAAAGCCCACAAAATGGTAATTTGTTTGGCATACGAATTATAACACTAACTGAAGAGACAAAAGATTCACACCACATGCTCGGCCCACAATAAAACCTCAGACGCATTATAATAAAAAGCCTTCAACCCACAAAAACTCGTTATATACAATAAGCCTTTCTTTGATCGTTGTGGAATTTGATCGCCCCTTAGCATTTAGCTCTTGTTGCGAAGGATATTTGTAGGAATCAAGAAACACAACTCAGTGAGTATTTCAATGGCAGCAATAAACTGGAAAATGTGTCCTGAACTTGTGCTTATCAAAAAGACATTATACTTCCTCACAGCAGATACGTGAGAGTAGCTCTTATCGCTGCTTTTATTAACAGCTTTAACGATCACACGCCCTATTTTTGTGACTGATTCGGGGATGCGTCCGGGGGGCGATAACACTGTGAAAAGGTTGCTTGATTTCTTCCTTGATGCCCCGTACACTCCATTATTCACTTATCAAGTTGTAAAAAGATGGTACGAAAGGAGTTGCTCAAGATGGCACTTAAAGTAAAGATTACCGTATTTTATCAGTTGCTTGATGTTTGGGTAATATCACGCAGATAAATTAGCATCATTATTTCCAACTAATCAGGTTGTGTTGTAAAATCTCGCCACGGGCGGATGCCCTCAGTGACTCAACAGTTTTGCAGGAATACTGATGCTGAATGTGTCAACATACTTCTAATTTTGACTATATGCAAGCATTGTTGTTTTGGTAATCATGTGGTTTGAGGGGCATTCGTCGTTAAAATGTATTGTTCCCCATTCAAAAAGTCTCAGTTCACTCAAGTCGGAAAATAAAAATAATAAGAAAGCGTAGTTATAGTCGTAGCAGAAGAACTACAAAAAGCTAGGCTAACACTTAGCTTGTAATACACTGTGCCAATCCAATCCAATTCAATTTATTTTAAATATTTTTATGGTTGCAAACTCTTCTGCTTAGTGTGCTGAATGACTTGCGGGAGATGTTATACAATCGCTCAACACAACCAGTTGCTCCGATATCTGTGTCCTGGCTCCGTAAAAGGCTAGCGTTCTGTTCCGTGAACGCCATGTTTGAATTTGCCATCTTAAAAACTAAACCAGTTTAACAGTACATGACCCAACTATTTCCAGAGCAGAGCAGGGATTAAAAAAAAATAACTCAACACTCGACTTTACGCAATCTAGGTTTTTGGGGTTGACCAGCAATCAGAGTTTGAAAAAAAATGAAATTCGATCACCAATCGAGAAGAAGATGGAGCAATGTAGCTATTTAAATTCCTTGAATATTTACTCAATAGCTTTTGAAGCTTTTTCATTGACTCCATAGTGAAAATGATGTATAAAAATAATTAAAACTTAAAAAAAACAATCTTCAAAAAAATGCTGATAAACATTCACCACAACAATATAATGTTTACATATTTACAACAGCTGCTTCTCTGACATTAATGAAAAAAAAAATCCATGTACATCGACATTATTCAAGAGGCCTTTTTACCAATCAATAAGAAAAACTACACAAACGCTATTCATTTGTGATCGGATGCTTGAGGGCTTGGGTTAGGGTTAACCCTTAGTCAGATCTGTACCAGATAGTTGCAGCATTCAAGTCGAGTGCGGGCCACATCGTAGTTATGGTATCCCTCGGAGAGCCATTATGACTCATTGATTCATAATGGCCGCCCGGTGGCCCAGTGGTTAGTGCGTCGACCTCACAGTGCAGAGATACTGGGTTCAATTCCAGCTCCGGCCTTCCTGTGTGGAGTTTGCATGTTCTCCCCGGGCCTGCGTGGGTTTTCTCCGGGTACTGCGGTTTCCCCCCCACATTCCAAAAATATGCATGGCAGGCTGTTTGAGCACTCTAAATTGTCCCTAGGTGTGAGTGTGAGCGTGGATGGTTGTTCGTCTGTGTGTGCCCTGCGATTGGCTGGCAACCGGTTCAGGGTGTCCCTCGCCTATTGCCTGAAGACGGCTGGGATAGGCTCCAGCACCCCCCGCGACCCTTGTGAGGGTAAGCGGATCGGAAAATGGATGGATGGATAATTCATATTGATTTCATATCAATGTATGATCACCTTATATTATCACATATACACAACGAATTGCTGAATAACTCGTTTTGAAATCAGAAGACAGTAAATAATTGCTTGTTCAACTGTTCAATTTATTTTAAAGGATGTATTGGTAACAAAATGCTTGCAATATCTCATATACCTCAGTGTTGTTAAAAGTGAAGAATGAGAAACATGAAATCGATGCCCATGAATTGCCTTTGCAGGCCTTGATTTTGAGAACTGTGCTGTAGAGCAAGGGTGTCAAATTTGCTTTCATCGTCAGTTACACTTCTTGACATTTATCTGATCAATTCAGAATGAGAATATGATAATTGTCCCATCATAATTGCTCCAGAATCTGGTTATAATAATGTTGTTTTTTTTTTTTTAATGGCTAGTTTTGAAAATGTATCACAAACTATTATGGGGCCACATAAAATGACAGGACTTGAATTTGATACCTTTGACCAACTTTATAGAATAAGCTTAAAGCAGCAAGGACTACAAAGTACACACTACAAGTCGGCCCTTCCGCTTCGGGTGACTTTGAGTCAGAACATATAAAGTTTTCTGGGATGCAGTTTAATGAAATCGAACGCAAATTATTTTGGGGAAGGGCTGTGCACAGCCATCTTGTTTGTTTGCAAACGGGCCACATTGGCGCTTGTTATGGTATCATCACATCAAGGCTTTTGTGCCAACAAAGCACTGGTAGTTTGGTTAGGTTTAAAAGTAAAAGAAACAGACTGAACCGACTTTTATTTCCAAATAACAACAGTCTTTATCTGCTGGGTCACATACCAAAAGGTGATGTCATGGTTGGGAGATTAGAGACCACGATGCTGGATGTTGATGGTGATGTTTTGTGCAGGTTCGATGGCGAGATGTCGGCAAAAACTATCTAGCTAGCTCTTGATAGGCATCGTCAAGATTTTACAACAGGTCTGAGCCCGTTAGAGACAACACAGATACAATCTCTGTGTTATTACTTTTGGGATCACAAGTCTTAGCTGTTCTGATCATTAAATATTAAAGTCTGTGACAACCCTGGCAGGGAGGGAGAATCTGTGCTGGTTCTGTATGACATGTCACTCTGAAGACTTCGTCAACGAAGTAAAAGAATTTTGACATACTGTCGTTGTAAAGTCTCATTTTATAGTGCAAACCCACGTTTAAAAATATTGAAATGCCTCTTGTTAAAATAACAAAGTTCCATGATTTTCTTCAAATCTAAAATAAATTCTATTCATGTGTGGGAATATAAAATGAAATGAAAATATAAAAACAACTTTGCGACAACTCCTTGTGTGAAGTTATTTTTGCCTAGGTTGCAGTCAACTATCCCATCTTGAAGACAGCAAATAAGCGGGGAAATAAAATTATAAATTTTGTCTAAGCTTAGCTCCAAAACATTAAGCGCTATGTTGTGATTTATATTAATTAGCTTAGCTTTTGCACTGAATTGCAAATACATCAGCAATATCAATGAAGTAATTTATAAAAAATTAACAAAATCTACACAAAATGTAAGACAGTAAAATGTGTGTGTGTGTCTGTGGGGGGGGGGGTGTATTAGATGATTTTTCATCAGATTAATATAACATTCAGATCGCCTGAATGCTAAAGCTTACTGTGGTGATTGATGTTAGCTGTTAGCTTTGGGTAGTTAGCACACCTTGCAAACAAACCTCAACACGAAACGCCAGTTCAATCACCTTTGATAATAATTTTAAAAAATTGTGACAATGAATGGACGGATGCTATTGAATGCAGTGATACTAATCATTGGTTAGGAAGGCCATTTAAAATTTAATGTACATGCTCAGCTAATTAGCATAAGCATAGAGTTTGTGTTGGCGGGTATTTTGACAGATTTAGGCAAAGCTGACAAAACATTTAAAAATTGGTTTATTCTTCTCAGTGTTGAATGGGATCCTTAAATCTTTGCAACATTTATTCAGAAGAAATAAATGAATATTTATAAATGTTATTTTCGGTATACTTATAAATGACTTTTTTTTTAATTAAACAAATTGGCTGATTAAAATTGGCTGAGGCAATTGTTTTTCCACGCAGGGTTTGGACAGCTGGTGCATGAAAAACTGCAGAGGGACTAAAAAGTGTGAGTGGAGCACTTTCTAATCAAATGTTCATGAAAGTCGATTCAAACAAGAAGCATGCATTCTCATTTGCTTTGACGAATCGATGGAAAAAGTCTGTCAGCATAGACGCCCACTGTGTTGTCACCCTCTCAAATCTCCATTTCCATACCTCTAATAGACAAATACTAGCCTGTGCTGTCTCTCTCGCTGCTCACTCATAGCTTCTTATCTTGCCCGCCCCTTCTTAGCCACACATGCCAGCAGATATTGTCCAGGGGCCACCAGTGTAAATAAAAGACGTCCATTTGGCCCGAAGCAAGCTGTGTCGGGCCTGGCACAGCTTCTAATGCATTAGCCTGTATTAGACACACACACCCACGCGCACGCACATGCGTGCGCACACACACACACACAGGCTCCCGGGCTGCGTCTCCGCTCTCCAACACAGCCCAGGAGCCTCGAAGATACCCTCAAGGGAAAGGATAAGCATAGACGTAGACACACACACACACACACACACACACACATGCGACTGTTTATTTCTACTGCTCTGTTCTGTTAAGTGTCAACCTCAATTTTAACGTTTCTATGACTATGTCCACGCAAACGAAGTGTATTTAAATGGAGGTTCAAAAAAAATGGTGTTGAAATTAACATCCATCTGAAGCAGAAACACATTTGCAGTCGATCAAAAAAAAAAAGCACGCCAAGGCAGCAGATGGCTGTACGGCTCCTAACTGTAAGAATGTTGTAGCCAATCGGATAACTAGATCATGGTACAAAGTTTGAATGGTGATAACCAAGTTAAGAAAAACTGTCACTTTTGACTAAGTTCGTAGTAATTTTTCAGTGACCTAAAAATGATGAGGAAATGTACAATTTGACTCAAAGTAATTTCTTCAAGCGGACATGCCTACAATTGTTCATATGTTTGGAAGAAAACTAAAAAAAAATGTTTTGAGGTTAAGACACAAATGATCACAGTATGGTCATGCTATGTTTTCCAAAATTTAAGCATGTTTCCAATAGTCATTTAGATACACAACATTTCTCAGAAAGCCATCAAATTTATACATATTTGATGCTTGTTTATCAATATATTTCATGTTTGATATTGGTCAACCTAACTCCCAATACAATAGTATTGCAATATTTTGCTAATGATATCAATAACAAGAACATTAATAGAACTGAAGAAAAGTGCAAAAATCGTCACATATGAAAACATAGCAACATATCTTGATATAGATGAATCTTACATATGCAATTACTATTTTCTCTCTAAATTTTTATAGGCTAAGTAAAAAAAGCAACTCTAGTATATTATTGAATTTAGTGCCGAGCTTTTTCCTCGTACCCGCATACATGCGCGCGCGCACACACACACACACACACACACACACACACACACACACACACACACACACACACACACACGGTTATCCCAGAATGTTGTATATAAAATGTTTTATAATGTTTAAGTGGACTGACACGGAACATTACGAAATATATATTTGTTGAAATTATGTCATAAAGTACTTGAAGATCGGTCATAATAGTAACATTTGTTGCTTGTGTTGCTGTGAAAATGATGCATTGCAACATTACATGATGCCACTTTGTGTTTGCCCTTAGCCTCTTTCTCTCTGACTGGAGCTCCACTGGGGGTCTGGAAGAGGATGGAGAGAGGAGGGGAAAGTCCCGTCACGCAGGACAGTCCTGAACGCAGAGGGGGCAGCCCGGACATCGGCAGCCCGCCCCCACCGGGCAAAAAGGGCCGCATGGAACTCAACGGCAGCCCCACAGGGCCCCGCCTCCGGCAAAATGGGGCGGCACTCAGACCCCTTGGAGGTAAGTGATGTCATGGGTCTAGAATTCCAATTCTGTTTCATTCATTGGTGACTGATATCATTTTATGTAAATTACGCCATTCCGCCCTTTGCACAAAAAGCCGCAGTAACATTGGACTTGAACGAGGTCTTACAAATTGGGATCTACGTAAAATTTCGGGAATTTGTAACTTCCATCATGCAAAAAAATAAGTACCACCTTACAGCATGGGCAACTAAAATGATGAAGTGGGCCACAATTTCGGAACTACTGGGGGGCCACAAAGATCACACACTTCCGAACAAGATCTATGAAAAAAATTTCTGTTTTAAAAATGGACAAAATACAGGCATATGTCCAAAATACATGCTCTGAAAATATTTCATTTTTCAGATTACAATTCTCACTACATGTATAAATGACTATTCAACAGCAAAGGGTTTGAAGCAAACAACAAAATAACCACATACTGTGATTTTTATCCGGCACAAATGGCTCTCTGGCACAAAAATTCAAGGACAGCACAAAACTGCTGAACAGCCATCAACATGAAGTGCAAAAAAACATTTTTGTTAATTTTTTCACAAAATTCAATTCAGTCAGAATTTTGTCACTGACGTACTATGCATTTGACCTGCATGTCATTCCAAATCTACGCATAAATATTATGCCGACTTAAATACGACCCGGTGCAAGCACAACTAAGCTAGGTATGTCATCTAGTGGTGAATGGTGAAATTACAACTCAAAATTACACATTAACTAAAATTATGGGTGATGGAGACTGGACCGGACCAAAAATCAGGGTATTATTGATGTCCATTAAAATTCATTCATTTATTTATTTTTTTTTAACACCCCACAAAATTCTAAAAAAGATGCTGAAAAATCTCCACTACATATTTTCTGTTAAAGTCGGAGGTTTGCACCCACCCAACTTCACTGGAAAAGTGAAAAAAATATATAAATTCAAAATTTTCCAAAATAAGTCGTATAACTTCAGAATTAGAATTACAATAATGCAAAAAGTACCTCGGACAACAAAGGTGATATGACGGATTGTATCTATTTAGATTATTTTCTTTGAGATTAGGGTTTTCTTGAAATCTCTTTTTTCGACCTTCGAGGTTCTACTGTAATGCGACCTGTGTTTGACCTTTGAACTCTTTGAGCTTCTCTGTTTAGAAGGCAGAGAGGCCATGTCACTTTAACACAAGCAGGCGAGGAGGAAGGGGCTCAGCAAATAAAAATGAGTGCATCATATAAACAAGATTTACGCAGACCACTGTGGTTGATCGATCCGGTATCCAGAGTTATTCTTATTTATGCACATGTGCACGCACGCTGCTGCCATATGTTTGCCCCAAGTTTAATCCCAGAGTCCTTTTCCCTTTGACTCATGCTAAAATTAGAAGGACATTTATAGATTTGGGCGCTCCTCCCCAATATTTATCATATAACATTCCTGGGGTTCTTTTGCTGGAATGCCAAACATAAAATTGAGTGGTTTTGCGGCGATGGAGCGGTTTTCAGCACGAGTTGAAGAGGTTATCAAAGCAAGGAAGAGCTGAGATGGGACGGCGAGGAAGAGGAAAAAGGTGACGATGAAAGAGGAAGGAAGGAGGAAGGGGTTTCCCGATGCAGGAATCATGACAGCATTTTCCTTGAAGACAGGAAACTCGACGTGTCTCGGCCAAAACCACGCAGCCACAGCAAAGACACACACACACACACACACACACACACACACACACACACACACACATCTTATTTTAAACCCCCCTCATACATATTAGAGGGATTAGAGGTTTGAGGCCACGTCGCATCATCCAAACCAGAGCATCCAGTGGCGAATGAGGCCTAGCATGACAACAACCAAGAGAGAGAGAGAGAGAGAGAGAGAGAGAGAGAGAGAGAGAGAGAGAGAGACAGAGAGAGAGAGACAGAGAGAGAGAGTGTTGACAGTTATATTTCCCTGTTGGGGAAAAATTCACTTACTCCAATTGGCACGGTGCTCCGGTGTGTAATTCACTCCATGAGCGCCTGGAGGGCCAGCGAGTGGAGTGATTAATGAGGAGGAAATTGAAATATTGGAATTGGCTGATTAAAACAATAAGCTGGATGGAGCTGAAGTGAAATGGGTGAATGGGGTGGACTGGGGGGCTAATGGTACCGTGCATTATTAGTGCTGGGACGCTGCCTAACGCGCTCAAGTCCATCAGGCACACACACACAGCTTTCATCTCGAGCCAGCTGACAGGTGGCTTCACAACAAAAGACCGTCATATATAAAAAAAAATAAATAAAAATAGCTAATCAAGGTTGACGTTCTGAAAGACATTTATGGAAGCAGAGAAGAACAAGTTCCTTCTCTGGCAAACCTGTTCAGTTTTGCAACCTATTTTATTATGTTTCTGTTCAAAGTGGTCCCAAACGGTGCACATTTCTATTATGTGAATGCAGACTGCAATGGGGAGCTTTTTGGAGGGCGGAGCGAGTCACAATGCCAGCCTTTGAAGGGCCAAGACAGGATCCACCTTTGCCTGCCACTTGACATACTTGTGTTTGTTTTCCTAAACCGGAGAAATTGCACGCTGACTAGCTATTATGGCTTGAGTCCCCAATCTGCCTACAGTACATTCCCCACTGTCAAAATACAAGCCTTTTAGAGTTTGCCGATCCGAGCCATACCACACCAATGAACTGGACAGCATAAAGTTTGAGGCTTCATTCCAACTGCAGTCAAAAAGAAAAAAAAAATACATTAAAACACAACCCAAAATGAGCAATTTGGCCCCATATGTGTTTTATTTTAAATTTGAAAATCCCAGTAAATTCCAATCTTTTGCGAGAACTAATTCACACCACTTCAGAATGTGGTCCGATAACAGAGACATTCATCCATCCATTTTCTGATCCACTTTATCCTCACAAGGGTCGCGCGGGT